TCTCTCTCTCTCTCTCTCTCTCTCTCTCTCTCTCTCTCTCCCACTCTAACTCCAAATCGCCGATTTTTCCGAATTTTTCTATCAAATACCCATGAAATATTTACTTCCATTCAACAGGTGTGTATTTGTTGGTCAAATCTATGATTATTTTGCAAGGAGTGATACAGCCATTTACTAACACTTGTTCTACTCATCAAATATTTATTCGTCAAACATTTTGGCAGATTGTTTGAAATGTACACTGAAATGCGAGAGATGCACTGTGAAATACATTCCGATGCATTTTAGCTATATTTTTTACAGTTCTCTTTGTGTGCTTATGAAACTTCTGACATTTTTTAAATTGTTCAAAAAATCAACATCACTCAGATTCATTTCGTCTGATATTTTCTCTATCGCTATTTCAGTTTCTGATTTCAATGCGTATCTCCCTCAGTCTTTCACTTCTAGATGGCGAAACTATTTGAAATAATCTATATTAACATATTGAAAATGAAACAACTGTATATCACATTCTGATTGTGATATCAAATAGTGAAGAAATGAGTGAGAGCTTCGCAAAATTCAACCACGGAATATAGTTCAATCAAGATGCTTCAAATATGCATGAACCACTGAATCCTTGGATTTTACACGCTTAATCAGCTTGGGACGAGTTACCACAGACTATCTTCGAATCACATGAAAGCGAATTTTGTACATATGTCAAGTGTCTTTGAACTAAAATCTATTATATACGATACATATTTATCTTTGCACATTTCTCTGTGGAAAGTGCAACAACTGTGTGAACAATGTGATTACTTTTTTTATATTTATTTTTAAAGATGATTTTTAATTGAATTGTGTACAAAAAATGGTTTTTGTTTTTCTTAAATTGACTCCTCTGAATATTCACTGTACAGTGTACAGTTGTAGATGGGTTCTGACTCATCAAGAATTTCGGAACAGTTTCGACTCGATCGGGGCCCAGAAACGCGTAGTTATGTTCTGTGTGCTGCCACAAGTAACTACGCGCCCCACGTAGTATCAATTACGATCTATTACGTTTCCCAACAAAAATGAAAAATATCTTCAGTTGCTTTATGATTTCCTGTAAATGTTTTTGAATAATAATTTCGCATTTTTTTCAAATGTTTTTTTTTTCAAATTCCTTTTTCAATGAACATTATTTGAATCTAAAACTCGTTAAGATAAGTTCTATGACTTTTTACCACTTTTCCGTTCAATGATTCCTGGATTTTCCAATTTGTTTTCTCACGCCATTGTAAATTCTACTCAAACTAGGCCATTAAAACCCATGTCTAGAAACTTCATTTCCTATATAAAAATTATCCAAATAAATTGAATGAAATGTTAAATGAATGTTCAATTTTGCGTGATTTTACGTTTAGCATTGCTACACAGCATGTTTTGTTGATCTCCCAGTATATAACGTACTAGAATAAACTGATTGAAACTAGTACAATTAGCATTTGCCACCATTTTTATTTAATTATTGTTCATATTTTTGACATTTTGAACAATCAAAATAAAATTGAAGTGAGGTTTA